TTTTAACTCTGTCTGGACTTCTGGTAAAATACCAACTTCATAAAGGGAGGCAATAATAATACCTATACCCAAACCTGGAAAAGACCATTCTGATCCAAGCAACTATAGACCAATTGCACTGACTAGTTGCCTATGCAAAACCATGGAAAGGATGATAAACAACCGGCTCATCTGGATACTAGAAAAAAACAAACAATTAACGGACTACCAGTGCGGATTCAAACGCGGTAAGAGCACATTGGATCAACTAATTCGACTGGAAACTTATATTAGAAATGGATTCATCAGGAAAGAACATGTCGTTGCTGTCTTCTTCGACTTAGAGAAAGCATACGATACAACTTGGCAACATGGAATTTTTTAAAGATCTCCACCAAATGGGACTCAGAGGAAGGCTTCCCATCTTCAATTAAAATTTTCTCACCAAAAGAAACTTCAAAGTCCAAGTCGGAAACACATCATCAAATATTCACAAACAAGAAGTGGGAGTCCCTCAAGGAAGCATTCTCTCAGTCACTCTCTTCAGCATCAAGATAAATAACATTGTAGAAATTATTGGACCAAACACATTCTGCAGCCTTTATGTGGATGATCTCTGCATAAGTTACAGAGGAAATAATATGAACACAATTGAAAGACATCTACAATCAAGTATCCACAAAATCAATCAGTGGGCTACAAAAATGGTTTTAAGTTCTCCAGATCAAAAACTGTTTGTACACATTTTTGCATCCAGAGATCCCTTCACCATGACCCAGAACTTTTTATTAACGAAGAACAAATCAAAGTCGGTAAGGAAATCAAGTTTTTAGGACTTATTTTAGACAACAAAATGACTTTTATCCCTCATTTTAAATATTTAAAAAACAAGTGCTCGAAAGCCATGCGTATAATCAAAATCTTAGCAAAACCTAAATGGGGAGCGGATTTTAATATACTCTTACGTCTTTATAGAGTTCTCATTAGATCCCGGTTGGACTATGGGTGCATAATATATGATTCTACCAGAACTTCATATAAACAAATCCTCAACACAGTTCATCATCAAGGATTACGTCTTGCTTTAGGAGCCTTCAGAACATCACCAATACAGAGTTTGTACACTGAAGCCAACGAACCTTCTCTCCAAAATAGACGACTAAAACTCTCATTACAATACGCCATTAAACTGAAAGCAAATAAGAACAATCCAGCTCACACTGCAGTTTTTAACCCTCAACTAGTACAATTGTATGAGAGTAAACCACAAACTATCAGACCTTTTGGACTACGCATCAAACCACACCTACAAAATCTAAACATAAACCTGGACATACTAAATCAAGTACATTTCTCCTCCCTGCCCCATTGGAAGATAAAGAGGCCCATAGTCAACATGGATCTAAGCCGCCAGAAGAAAGGAACAACCCACCCCAATGTGTACAGGCAACAATATCTGAACATTAGAAGCCAATATCCCCAACACCAACCCATTTTTACAGATGGCTCAAAAACTGAAAACGGAGTTGCAGCAGCAATGGTAACTGGAAAACAACATTTTTGAATCAGACTACCTAAAGAGTGCACAATTTTCACAGCTAAAGCTCGTGCCCTACTTTTAGCACTGGAGTACATTGAAAACGACCAACTAAACAAGTCCATCATCTTCACAGATTCCAAGTCATGTCTCCAGGCCATGGAATCTCCAAGGAATGATCATCCACTATTAGATGATATTTTGACAAAACCCCACCAACTACAAAACCAGTCCTATCAAATCATTTTTTGCTGGATCCCAGGACATACCGGACTTCCAGGGAATGAGCGAGCCGACGCAGCAGCCAAGAACGCTCTAGGACAAGTAGTGAACAAGTGCCAGATCCCCCCATCAGAGATGAGATCCATCATTAATGATTACATCCAAAATAAATGGCAAGAAGAATGGAATACACTTGAAAACAACAAATTACACGAAATCCAACCTGAGATCCCATACAGAATTTTAAGACATTTTAAGACTAGATTTGATCAAGTGGTTTTTACCAGATGCCGCATTGGACACTCAAGATTAACCCATGGTCATCTGCTCCCAGGAGAAAACCCTACACAATGTATATACTGCTCAACTCCAATTACCATAAAACACATTTTATTGGATTGCCCTGCTTTTAATGACTCCAGAAAGTCTTTTATGAAGTGATCTCTTTAAAGGACATTTTTAATACAGTGACACCAGGAAAAATTTTTTGATTTTTTTATTGTGTATTAATATGAAATATCTTATCTAATTTATGTAATCAGCTGATGTGAAATTTTAATTGTATATCTGATATCTAAATGTTTTGCCATGAAAATAGCCTTGGTTGCGGACATGGCATTAAATCAATAAATAATAATAATAATCCCTGACCGGGAATCGAACCCGGGCCGCGGCGGTGAGAGCGCCGAATCCTGACCACTATACGTTTCTTGCTAAAATGTGTGAGTGTCTTGGAGTCTTTTGCTCTTTCTCTCTCTCACACACACTTATCTTCTGGTGCGCATTCTCGCATAGTTTTGCTCTCTCGCTTACGCGCTCTTGAGAAGCACTTTCTCTCTTTCTTGCTCTTGGTTTTGTCACAAAGGCCCTTTGTCGGCTCCCGATTAGGACATATTTAAAAATAAATGAATAAATAAAATAAAAAATGCCAACGAGAAGAAGAGTGAAGATAAAAACTAAGACTTGTGGACCAGCCAGAGAAGCAGTTTTTTCATCTGAGATCTTTAGTTGCATTTTTTGGACAGAGTAAATTACGCTCCGGTTCGTTAGAGTGATCCAGCTGACCGTGCCTAGCGCCGGACCTTCCATCGGGTCACTGTTTGTTGTTTTAGTTTGTTATTTTAGTTTTTTATTTTTGGAGGCACCCCGGGGGGGAGACTCTGTCTCCTAACTGGTAACCCTCCGAAGACTAGGAAGGTTGTATTTAGTGTTGTGGATAGGAAGTTAGGTCCGGAGTGTTGTTTTCTTTATTCTTACTTATTATAAAACATTTTATTTACTAAATGGCAACGTTGTTTAAATTAGACAACTGTAAAGATGATATGTTTAATGTGGCTTAACATTATGATATCTCAGTTTCTGGGACGTTACTCAAGAGAGATCTTAAAGCGTGTTTACTGGCTGGTCTTCAAAATTAAAATAATGTTGCTGTGGATTCCAACGCTGTTGGCATAACTCTTGCCTCAGTTGATTCTGGCGTTAATCCTGTCTCATTGATTGATGAGTAAACTGAATGCAAGGAAGTAAAATATTTCGATCTAGGATGCATGAAATTTCCAGTAATGCTGTTTTGATTATCTAGAAGAGCAAAACTCAAATCATATTAATTTTAGAAAACTTTTTTAAAATTAAATTTTACTGCTCTCCCAGCATTGACCTTGATGTGATTTGAACACACAACCTTCTGATCTGGAGTCAGACGCGCTACCGTTGAATGTTTGTTTTATTTGTATGAAAGGAACTTATTCCATAGTCAGAGAGACTGTGATGCCTGTGTGCAAGGTGGACCTGGAATGGAGATACTTTCAAATCGTTTATTGGGGTGTTGGCAGATGGAATTTGGGGTGGTCATGGGCGGATGTGGTTGTATTGTCCTCGGGGTTGCTCCGTGTTTGGGCTCGGCATAGTAGATCATGCTGAGATCCATGTTAGTAAGGGAAGGAAGAGAAAAATAAGATTTTTCAAAAATACTTGTAAACTGTGTTTTGAATGTATCAAACATGATTTGTTTTAAACTTAATAACGAACCGCATATTTTACATACTTTTAAAGATGATTTCTTTTATGAAACTTGATCAATATACTCCTAAATCAATGTGATGTGTTTGAAAAATAACTAGTTAGTTGTTCGGTGTAACTGTCTCGATGGTCTATGTGGTGACTGTTAGAAATGTAATGAGGTGTGACCTATTTCAGAGGTCAAGAGAGGGATTTGTGGGAAAATTTTATTAACTTTCTATGATATCTTGTGAAATCTTGTGAAGATAATAAGAATGAATGGTTTTATTATACATGACCTCGGAAAAGGGAAAGAGGACTGCTTTGACTTCCCTTTTCTTCCTAGGCAGGAAGAGATAAGGAATTTCTTCCAGAATATTCTAGTTTTGTTTCAAAGAGAATGCGTCAGGGGTTAATAACGATTCAGAAAAAAATCTGAATCAGTAGCTTTTTGTCGTGTATCAAATTTTTTAAAAGGACCTTTCCTGAACGGTAATCGAACCTGGGCCGCAGCATTGAGAGCACCGAATCCTGACCACTAGACCATCAGGGACAGACATACCTCAATGTTTTTTGGCCTTTTTTTGTCATTTTTAAATGCTATCACTTTTTGATCATAATTCCAGGCAATTTCCAGTAATGCTGTTTTGATTATTTAGAAGAGCAAAACTCAAATCATGCTAATTTTAGAAATTTTTTTAAAATTAAAGTTTATTGCTCTCCCATGATCTGGTATCAGAAGCGCTACCGTTGCGCTACAAGGTCTTATATGAGGATTTTTGGAAGAAGGCTCATAACGATCCAGAAAAAAATCTGAATCTAGTGGATCAGTATCATGTTGTCGTGTATCAAAAATATTAAAAGGATCTTCCCTGACCGGGAATCGAATCCTGACCACTAAAACTTCAGGGACACACAATCCTCATTGTTTTTTACGCCATAATTTTTTTTTGCCATTTTTAAATGCTATCACTTTTTTATCATACTTCCTAGCAATTTCCAGTTATGCCATTTTGATTATCTAGAAGAGCAAAAGTCAAATCATATTAATTTTAGAAAACTTTTTTTTTAATAAAAGTTTACTGCTCTCCCAGCATTGACCTTGATGTGATTTGATCACACAACCTTCTGATCTGGAGTCAGACGCGCTACCGTTGCGCCACAAGGTCTTACATGAGGATTTCTGGAAAAAGGCTCATAACGATCTAGAAGAAAATCAGAATCTAGTGGATCAGTATCTTCTATATAAAATATTAAAAGGAAGTTCCCTGCCCAGGAATCAAACTCAGGTCTCAGCGGTGACAGCGCCGAATCCTGACCACTAGACTATCAGGGACACACAATACTTATTGTTTTTTTGGACATCATTTTTTTTTTGCCATTTTTAAATGATATTACTTTTTTATCATACTTCCTGGCAATCGAATCCTGACCACTAGACCTTCAGGGACACACAACCCTCATTGTTTTTTGGCCATCATTTTTTTTTTGCCATTTTTTTCCTGGCAATTTCCAGTAATGCTGTTTTGATTATCTAGAAGAGCAAAACTCAAATCATATTAATTTTAGAAACCTTTTTTAAAATTAAAGTTTACTGCTCTCCCAGCATTGACCTTGATGTGATTTGAACACACAACCTTCTGATCTGGAGTCAGACGCGCTACCGTTGCGCCACAAGGTCTTAAATGTGGATTTTTGGAAGAATACTCATAACGATCTAGAAGAAAATCAGAATCTAGTGGATCAGTATCTTCTATCAAAAATATTAAAAGGAAGTTCCCTGGCCGGGAATCAAACTCAGGTCTCAGCAGTGAGAGTGCCGAATCCTGACCACCAGACCATCAGGGACACACAATACTTATTGTTTTTTTTGGCCATCATTTTTTTTTGCCATTTTTAAATGATATTACTTTTTTATTATACT